AATGCCCGAGTGAATGGAAGTAACTGGCTATATATGCTCTCAAGCTAAGAAAAACATTTAGCTTGAGCCAATTAGTATTGAATAACGCCTTTAGAATCTGACTTCTGCATTGTATGAATGGGTAACAGAGTACGAATGGGATTTTCCAAAGCATGCAAAGGACTTAGCTATCCAGTATACACTTTAAGTTGACTAACTTCTTTGTTTTAACCACTAATTTATCCTTCCACTTAAAGAACAACAAATAAAACAAAGGAAAGCTGTACCTGATGGACACCATTTCTGTTTGTATTTATAATGTTGCCTGGACTATTAGAAATGGCAGGAGACTTTTCTCTAGTTGGAATGATATTGATAGTTTTGCCACTAAGTAAAAAAAAAAGTGTCATCCTTGTAGACACTTATAACATGGTGACATGATAGAAACATGGGTATGATTAGGATCTTTCTTAGTTTGGACAATGTCTCACATGTCTTACCAAAAACGGAGATTAAGGCCCTCAAACAATACCTCAGTTATCTTATACAGGATTTCTACAAAAGTTGGAATCTATCAAATAAGTGTGTTTTAAAACTTTATTGTTTTATAGTTAACACACATCAAGAGTTGCAAGGCAATATATTAAGATTTGAAATGTCAGTCTTTGGATTATAGAAAACAAAGTTTTAATCACAGATAAAATGACACAGGTCTTCAGATACTTAGTACAGTAAAAACTGTGTTAACCAGCACTTTATTAGCCGGAAAATTCTATTAACTGGCATCCGAGCGACGTGGCAAAAGCGAAACTGGAAGTACCACTTCCAGGGGACTTCCAGTTTCGCTGCCGCGAGCTGAGTTTTTCTTCGCCACTTTTTCCGCCCACAGCCCAGGGCAAAGCAGCCTGCATGGGAAACAGCAGCCTGTGCGGGGCCCCGCTCCCTGTCCCCTGGCACACTGACGCCGGGGAGTGCACCAGACAGTACACATTTGATTAACCAGAATATATGATTAACTGGCATCCCCCATTTTATCTCTGTAAAAGATTAACAGAGCTTTTACTATAAATGTAAAGCCATTCCAATTTCACAGCTTGTTTGTTATACATGCAGTAAATAGTTTCAATCTGGCAACCAGTTGACTTAACAACTGTGTGTTTATATTATAGTTCCTTAGTGTAATATGAGAAAAACTCACAACAAATAATGCGCGTTTAAACTGTCTCTTAAAGAAAAAACTCAAAAAACTCTGCAGTCTTGTTTTTAATATATCACTATAGTTAAAAACTACATAAAACGCATAAGACTTATAAATAGTGTACAGCTAGAAATAAATAGTATCGATTCATTTTTCTTATTAAATTTAATTTGACAACAGGAGTGTAGTTTTAAAAAAAATATTTTATTCAATTTTACCAAGGATATATTAATATTAATCACAAATAATCAAATGTATTCTTTGATAAAAAGTATGTATCTAAGCCTACATTTGGTTTAACAGAAAACACCAAAAATGGCAGAAATAATTCACTGTATCCTGTTTGAAAACTTTTAAATGTAACCTGCATACTAGAACATGCAAGAAACAAACAAGAAAGGGTTTGGTGTTGTGAATAAAGATTTATAGGTTTTGAAAATCAAATACGACTTAACAAAAATGGTAAGCCATGGTTTCTAGCCACAATGCCTTAACATATTCTTAGCTGTTAGTTTGCCTAAAAGAATCTTTTTGTTGGAAACATTTCTCTATAATAATTAAGTTTCTCATTAAGGTCCTTTAAACTTAAGGTCTTAAGTTTAAGAGTAATAAGAAATTAAATTTTTTATTTTTGTGAATAAATACTCCCTATAAAGCAAATGGGCAAAAACCAGACACCATTCTGATATATTCTGCTCATTCTTCATTCAGGAGCCCAGGAAGGAAAGAACAAATATGATAAGTATCCTTTTACCATCTCATTTAAAGTAGATGAGTGATCACTGAAGTGCACATATTAGCTACATTCTAATGAGAAAACTAATGAGACTGTTAAATTTTAAGTCTAACAACCTCTGTTTTTCTTTATGCTATTTCTATGCCTTCTCTGAGTGATTGCATTTTCTTATGTGATGTCAAAAGCTTTTACCGCTCCTATGTTTCACATCTAAAACTTCATAAAAGTATAATACTGTGCGATTTATTTTTACACTTAACCAGATAATTTCTTGTCTAACTAAACAAAAATTATTTGGTGTTCCTGTCTTGAAGTTCTAATAAATTATTTTAATCCTGTGGGACAGGACAATCTAAGGCAACAGAATTCTTATTCTTACTTATTTCCCATCTTTTATATTCATCTCTACTCAGACTCAAAATGAATGCATTCTTCCTGAGAACAGTTACAATTATTTGTTTTCCAAAAATGAAGGACTCCTTTCCCCATTCCCTTAATATGGAGGTCAGCATCATAAGGCCCGCTGCATCTGTCCCACAGATATGGGGCTTTGATGACATTTGGTGGTAGGGGACTTCAGGTGTGGGCACTCTCCCCACGTTGCTGTGGGGAGAAGTGTCAGCTGCAGACAGAACCTAGCATGTGCTCACCCACTCACTTCTGACCTGAGGTGGATCATTCTGGCTTGGAGCTGGGAAAGGTTGCCTACAATTGTGTTAAAGTGTGAGAGAGGGGACAGAGAAGAAACAGCCTGTATCGCCTCCTCTCCCCTCTTGCAGTACTCTGCACACTAAACCAAGCAGAGAAGTGAAGCTAGCCAGGATTGCAGTAGAAAATACTTCCACTATTATTACTTAGCACACTGAGGGTTGGGGTACAGGCCAAAAAGGAAGTTCATAAACTGATATTTGTCCTGTCTGCTCCTGACCTAAAAGGATTTTACAGAATTCGTATCTCAATGCTGTTTCTCTCTCACCCACCGATGACAGCTCCAAACAGTCTTGGAGTGACTCTTCAAGCTATCTATGGTCCAACTGGTGATGACCTACAAGGGTTTACATGCAGTAGGCCTGTGCAAAGCAGCAAGCATTTGCTTCAGATTTGGATTTGGCCAATTCGGAGGGACAGTGATTCAGTTTGGTGATTCAAATCACTGTCCCGATTCAATTTGGCCAATTTGGATTTGGAGATTCAGCGCTGATTTGGAGATTCAGCCATAACCTGCAGGGGTGGTGGCCCCTGGTGAGGCCATAAAGCCTGCCAAGTTTCAAGGAGATAGGTGCAGGGGTTTGGAGGAAACTATATGTCAAGCTGTGGACAAGCAAAACTCATGACATGGGTGACACTGTGCGTGTTAAAGTGCAGCAGGGTGAAAGCTGCAGACCTGCTAGCCCCTGCTGAGACCACGAAGCCTGCCAGCTGTTAAGGAGATAGGTGCAGGGGGGTTCTGGGGCCCTGCACCTCTAGCTGCTGACAGGCGTATCTGCCAACTGCCCATCAAGAATGATGGCGGGGGGATGTGGGCAGGGATGAAGTCCTGTCCATCCCCCCCCGGGTCCAGGCCTGCTCCCCCTTCCCTCTTGCTGCTTGGGGTCTGGGCCCACTCCCCCCCTCTCCGCCAGACCAGCGGGGGAAAAGGAGGAGTGGGCCCATTCCTGATGCAGGGAAGGACCAGGCTTGAGGGTGGGGAGAAGATGAGCCACCTGGGGGGCAGGCAGGGGGACAGGAGGAGCTGCTCGGGGCTGACACAGGGGAGCGGGGGTGGGGGAAGAGTGGGCCCAAGCCCAACAGGGGGAGGAGGCTCGCTCCTCCCCACCCCTTGCAGCTGCCATGTTGGGCTGCGCCAGGCTGGGTCGGGCCAGGCCTCCCCCCCACTGCCATGGCAGGCCAACTTTTCCCCTGGCTTGGGCTCGCTCCCCCTCCCCCCAGGATCAGGCTCAGGCCCAGTCCTTCCCTGGCCCCACAGCATGCTTGCTCCTCCCCCGCCCGCATTGGGCCCACTTGGGGATGGGAGGAGCGGGCTTGGGGCTGACGCAGGGGAAGGGGGTGAGAGAGGAGTGGGCGAGGGCCTGAGTGGGGGAGAAGGCCCTCTGCTTCCCACCCCTAGCTGCTGCTGTGGCCGCATTGGGCCGGGCCCACTGTTCATCCCCTCCCGCTACGGCGGGTTGGCTTCTCCCCAGCTCAGGCCTGCTCTGCCCCCGCCCGGTGTTGAGCCCAGACCCACTCCCCTCCCCCCCAGCGTTGGGCCCGAGCCCCCTGTGTTACCTGCAGGGAGCACCCCCCTTCCGTCCACTGTGTTGCCACTGCCTCCAGGGAATAGGGTGGGAGGGACCAAGGCAAGCTGTGCTGGCCTCGCCCCCCACTTCAGTCCCCTGTGTCCCCACCATCATGGCGGTGGGCTGCCTTCTGTTGGAACACTTCTTCACACTCTGACTGGCTGTTTGTCAGCCAAACAAAGAGCAAATAAAGTGTTACAGACAGACAGACAGACAGACAGACGTAGGCTTTTATATTAGATATCCGATTTTCAAAATCTATAACAACTGTAAATCTTTTGCAGTCTTTTTCCTCAGAACCCTACATCTTTGGCAAAATACCTGTCTCTTTATTGTCTGCTTCTCTATTTCTGCTTCTCTAGTAGTAGAGATAAGGTTCACTGACAACAAGACAGTAAGTTTGTCTCTCCTCCTTCTTCCAAAGCCTCTTAACACAGTGTTCCCAGCCTTCAACATTGGGGGAAAGACTGAGTTAAAAATATGATCTGCCTCAAAGTATTTTACAATGTAGCTATCCAATTTTACACATTGTAACACTACTGAATTCAGGAACATATTTTTGTCCTGGTGTTAAGAATCATATTGACATTTCTGACAAACCCCCTGACCGCCGCACGATAGCTCTCATTTTTCCATCATTACAATTACAGCAAAGAAGTTATATTCTGTAAGAACAAAATATACTGCAAATAGAAGTCACAATGCAACAAACATGTTTAACTGTCTACATATGCAGTAGGATTTAATTCCAAATAACAGGGTTATTCACTGTTTGGAAGATCAAAGAATCTCCACTTACCAATTTAGCCTCTGACTGCACTGGCTGGGGGGAGGAAGGCCCTGGGATTCCTGGGATACTAGGCACCATGGTGACGGGTCTAACAAGCTGACAAGGAAAGTTGTAAAAAGTGAAAATGACAGAAACTGAGTATGCCAGCATCACACATAGTGTATCATACTAGTGCTTACCAGAGACATAAGAAATTCTATAAAACTGTATTCTACCACTTAGATATTTAAATTGCACCAATCCCTTTCATAGCAATTTAATTATTTCTAACTAGTCAAGGCCTGTTTAGAACAGTAACTAAAATCTTTATCATTCTAAATTAGTAATAAACCAAAAAGTAGTATAATAATTACAAAAATCTGCATCATACAATCAAATGAAGTCAAAAAATCTTCCTGACATTTCTGTAATTATAGTAAAAGAAGAAACCTGTGTTTTCCAAAATAAGTAAGTAAAATGTGTCATGTGTAAGCTTACTGGAACTGCAGCAGGGACATGAACATTAGAATTCGTGATTGAGGCAGGAATAGCAACAGGCATGGTTTGTCCATTAGGAAGATGTAACAACAGAGGAAAAGGCCCTGGTACTGGCCTAAGAAAAGAACAAGAGAAATAAATATTTTAAAAGGATACAAATATAGAGAAGTTGATGATTATCTCATCTCTTAATACAAAACTTGATATGTTATTAATTTTGCTTTAATCCTGTCCAAACGTAACATTTCTTAAACTCCTGATTAGGTATCAGTAATAAACATGCAGAAATTTGTAGAAAGACAACAGTGCAAACTCACTTTGTTGTTTGAGAATGAGGGATGTA